TATTAATTTAGAAAATAAAATTAATAATATTCGAGGTTGTGTGTTTGAAAACAAATTTGTCGATTAAATTATTAAATAAATATAACGAGATCATTTATATATTTGAAAATATGCATTTATGCATCGAAAGTGCAATATGTTAAACATATTACAAAATACTTTAAAAGATGCGTCGTAGTCCGTATTACGAAATATCTTGACTTATATATATGTGTATATATATGTGTATGTGTGTATTTCTCTCTTTCTCTCTCTAAATAGAACTAAACACGTAACGGTAATACAAAAGTGATTTCGCTTTCGTTTCCTCACTACTCGTCGTCGAACTATTTAACTCAAATCATCGATGATTCGATAACGTTCCATTTGTTTCATTACATTCGATGTATACCACCATCGTAAAATAAGATTATGGCAAATAACGATTAAGAGAAAAATAGATCGATGAATATCATGAGAAAGAGAGAAAGACAATTTTTTTTTCTTTTTTTTTTTTATTCTTGTCATCGAAACATGTTCGAACATAATCACGATTCGGCACGATCATCGAACATGTAAAACTCGATATTGTACGCTTTCCTGTATACTAACTATGCTACTACTACTACTATTACTACTGTATATAGTTATACCTACTATACACTACCATTCTCTTCTTTTCTTTTCTTTCCTTTTCTTTCTTTCATCCTCGTTTAAAAAAGAGAAACGTCTTGCTTTGATCATCAAAAAGGGTTCGTGCTACTTCCATCAAAATACTTCCGTCAGTGTTCCTAAATTCCGTCTCACGTGTGTTTCTTATTTTTTTTTTTTTTTCTTTAATATATACGTAACAATGTTTTTGTACGTTAAAGGTAATAATCTTTTTCTTTTGGGGTTTTTTCTGGTCATTTTTTTAAAATAAAATATCGATATGATTTATTCGATAAAGTATTTTAGAAAAAAGGGGATGTAATTAAATAAATGCACGAATGCTATATGGTAAAAGAAGAAAAGTTAAACACACACACACAAACTACTTAACTAATCGAAAACGCGCAACGAAGATATTAAATAAAAGTTGAAAAAGTGTGTCCGTGTTAAATATACAAATATAATATAACGTTTTATTTATCGTTAGAAGTTTCATAGTAAATTTAATTATCGATATAAATGCGATCTAATGAAAAATTATAATTGAAAAAAAAAGAAAAAATAAAGTATACGAAGAGATAAATATCATGGAGAATGGATAAGATGGTGAAAAAAAATAAACAAGAATAAAAAAGAATATGCAATAAGCGGTGCATGTGTATCTACGAAATGATAAATCAGTGATCTTAAAAAAATAAAAATATAATATGATAAATAAAATTTAATATAACATATTGTAATTCTTAGAAATGGAATCGTTGAAATATTGTTTAATAAATAAATCATTGATATTTTGATAAAATGATATGCTTGATGAGAGTTAACAACGTCGTGTGTTAGTTCAACGATAAACTGATTGAAAAAGTTGAAAATGACGGATATATCGTTCTCGGGAAAATAACTCTTTCTCTCTCTCTCTCTCTCTCTCTCTTTCTCATTCAACTGGAAGTCGATTCGATCGCTACTGTAGATATTCGAGTGGTTTGTTTACAAACAAATGACGTGGCCTGCTTGCAGTGCATAAAAGCACTCTTCTTCTTCTTCTTTTTCTTCTCCTCCTCCTCGTACTCGACATGAAAACCTCTTTGCGTAATTATTCACGTTCGCGATCGTTGCTCATTGATACGAACGCTTGATTTTTTTGCCTTGTGGGAAGAATTTCTCTCTCTCTTTCTCTCATTCTTTCTATTTCTTTTCTTTTTTTTTTTTTTTTTTTTTTTTAATGTTTCTCTTATACGTTTATCGATTTGTTTGATTTTCTCTTATCAAAGTTTTTTTGTTTTTCTCATTAAAAGTTAAAATATATACAGACAATGAAATTATGTTAGATGGTTTGGGGGGTGGGAGTAAATGAAAAAGAAAAAGATATTTTGTAGGATTTGTTTTTTTTTCTGAATATTGTCTAAATTTTATCATAGTTTATTTAACGCATATTATTTGATTAATATTGATAATATCTTAATATGTTGTTTCATTTTATTTTGTTTGGAAATAATATTTGTATTATATTCGACGAAGAGAAATTAATAGAAATCGTGAAAAAATGAATAGATAGTTCAAAGTACAATTCCATTTACCATTTGATAAATTTCTTTTAGGCTCTTTAATCCTGATCCCTAACAAAAGATACCTACTATAATCTTGGGTTAAACTATTCCATACGTTTTTGTTAAACGTACCTTTGTACCTTGTTCGTTCAGATAAAATTAATGTTTGGATTTAAGATTGAATACATTAACTATATCCGCAGCTACTTATATATTTAATGGAAATCTAAAACAAAATTGTGAAATATGCAATGAAGAAATTAGTGTCAAGCACATAATAATAGATTGTCCCAAAATATATCAATTAAAGAATAAAATACAGAATTTCAGAAAATCTGATGACTGTTCTTTCACTCAGAAAACATCACATTGACATTATTCATTTTTTAGAGACAATTAATATATTTTTAAATATATACATAACACCTAATATAACTATGTATTGTTACATGTTACTAATAATCTTGTCGTTTGATGCTACTATAAATTGGAAATAAAAAAAAAAGAACAAAAAAGAATAAAGTTTATCTTCAAAAAGAATTTTCATCCATTTTTTCAACAGAAAAAGATAACTATTTTGATTAGTGAAATTCACAAATGAAAGAAATAAAATATTTCCTATTAAGAAAATACTATGTATATAAATAGTTTCTATATATATATATATATATATATATATATATAATCAGGTTTACTATATATATATAATCAGGTTTTTATTGCACAACTTACAAAGTTTTTTACGATGTCTTATCATTATTTCACTTATATTTATCTCACATTTTTGGTTTATTCTCAACTCACCCCTACTCTACCAATAATTATCAACAATCTTAAAATTAAACTATCTATAACTATATAAATAGTTTCTATATTTTTTTCGTATAATCTTCAAACAATTTAGAATATATATATATATATATATATATAAAGAATACTTTTATTTTTTAAAAGATAAGAAATTCGAATAGAAAAAGATAATCCTTTTGACAAATAAAAAAAAAACAATCCCATCTAATGCATCAAACAATCTTAATATATCAATGTATAAAAAATCCAATTTTACATTATATTAATACACCTATGTATTAAATCTATTGTAAATGATTATTGTTTTGAAGTGTTTGAAGTATATTTATAAATTTTCAAAAATCATATAAGAAAGGTCGGTTATATTTCTCTCTCTTTAGAAAAAAAGAAAAAAAAGTAAAAGAAAATTTTTTGTTTAATTCTTTTGGTTCTCGAACCTGCTTTGTAATGGAGGGTAAGCAGATATTCACCGTGAAACTCGACGACCGCGAAGATAATCGTTGATAATTGCAGTAGAGCATACGAATCAAACTATGCAATTGCAACGGAGACGAATATAATTGTCACGACGACGGATATTGTGACATTCTATGTCTCTCTCTCTTTCTCTCTCTCTCTCTCTCTCTCTCTCTCTCTCTCTCTCTCTCATCATTTTCCCAACGTTTTACGAGAAAATGATAGAGAAATGGAAAGAAAGAAAAAAAAAAGAAATCCCTGAGTTTGCCTATAATATAAAGTGAAAAGAAAAGGAAAGAAAAATAATTAGCAACAATCTCTCGACGTGGATAATCAGTTTAATCCGCCAAATTTTAATTAAAATTCACACGGAGAGTGAAACACACACAAACTTAATCGTTTTCGGCACGGATATCACGTATTATCGTGGTATTATAACCTCCGTTTTTGATAATGAAATTTTAATCGCTTCACGCGTGTGACCACGATCTAAAATACTTTTCCTTTTTTTTTTTTTTTTTTGTGTTTTTATTTTTTTTGTTTTGTTTTGCGAAGACAAATAAAAGAAAAAGAAAAATAAAATAACGAGGAAGAAGGAAACCACACAAGTTAGCTTATTTTAATCATAAATTAGTGGAGGGGGGGGGAGGAAACATGTCATTTTGGATGACAAAGAAATTTTGTAGATTTGTTTTTTTTTATTTGGATATATAAAAAAAATGATAACAAAAAAATATTTTC